CTGGGACAGAACGGATGATGAGAGGCTGGATTGAAGGTGAACTGTCCAATGCCCGGCAACTGAGCCACTCCCCGTTTCTGTTGACTGGCCATGAGCTTTCGCGAAGCAGATTTTGGCCGTTGCATACACATAATACATGGCATCCACTGAAAACAGCAAAGTACAAGGTCATTAGGAACACTTCGCAAAAATAACCCAAGGCTTCTTACCTCCAGAAAGAGGGTTCGTACCCATGAGGGCATTCGATGAGTTGTAGGGCTACGGAAGTACACGTTGATAATAATCACAGTCACCAAGATGGTGATTACGTTGAGCACGAATGTGAGCAGAAGATACCTAAAGTTCCTTCAAGCATGGAAACTTTTCAAATTTCTGCTAGAAAAACCTGCTAGAAATAATTTGACTCCGACAGAAACTCAAAAAATTCAAAAAACTCCGATAAAAGAGGAAAGTTTTAGAGCCACCAAACATCGCCATGACATACATTACCCTTTCTGTTGAGGTCTCTTAAAGGCATAATTCACGATAAAAATGGTATCTGAGATTTCTCCATAAAATGAATTTGAGGCCTCCTCGTATACCATAACTGGTGCTATCAGTTGGGAAAACGGCCTAGTTAGGGCGTTATGAAGGCTCAAAGATTGTCCTGTGGGTGCGCGCGGACGAGTTTCAATGGTATTGTAGAGGCTGCACCATTCACGAGGGAACCCATGTAGGGGATACAAGCAACTTGTCGTGACCCATAGCGACAGTGAATGGTAGTTCTGTACAGTTCTGGTTTGATGTGGTTAGCTCTTGGCACAATTACAGCAACTGAAATCTCGTTCCAATACCTCTACCATATTATTTCCGTCATGGTAATCTCGTCCAAACTCGATTTTCCGTTTTTTTTTTGAGAAGCCATATTTTCACGAACTCGGCGGATACTTTCTCTTTCTTCACTACCATTGAACTATTCCCAACCTATACTTCCGCTTTTTGAACAAAAAGGGGTACCCCAAAATTATCGTGAACTGTGCCTTTAAAAAGCATAGATTTTTAGACCTCGTGTCAACTGTGTCCTTAAAATGCGGAGGCTGGACTGCTGAACAATCAGTAGTAATCCCATGTCTCCATGTCCATTCTATTCTACTTCAAGTATAACCACATAATTTGGACAACAGTGGAGCTGGAGCAGTGGTTGGTGGCGCCACTCTTCGTGCAACGTCTTAAGAACGAACCACCGAGATAATATCTATTGAATCAAGAAGGTTATCACAAAAAAATCTTTTTTTCCAGCGTTTTCTCAGTACCAAATAGAGAATAGGAAAATAGAACAATAGATGTGGCTTCGGGAACTTTGGTGAAGACCAAATTCGGATTCGATTTCCTCTCCCAGCTCTCACAAGAGCCGTCAGGCAAATCTCGTCAGGGTTTCAAGACGGACAAATCTTTTTCTTTCTGAAATCGTGTAACTTCCAGAGACTTACTTCGCCATCAGTGGGATTGTACTCGATGTTGGTGGAAGAATTTTAGACACGAGCAACAGGAAGACAACGATGGACAGCAACACAGAAATGGTCAGCGTCATTTTCTCACCTGGAATAGATGGAATGGTGGCTTCATGTGTCAGTGGGGAAGGGATTTGGTTTTTTCTTTCTTTCATACTCCCTCTCTGTTAAGAGCGAACGTAAGCATCGAATTTCGATGTCTATCCTGTCCATCTTGTCTGTACCTTTATTTCCCCATGCTACGAAGGACACTATATAGAAACGTCCGTTGCGCGCGTCCGTCGGAAGTAGGTCACCCCGCCCACTTCGCTAGCGGCGCATCCCACTGAGCTCTTGAGGTGTC